AATTAGAGTCAAAGACTACTTTCTAATCAGCGTTCCCAGAATACAAAGTGACTTTCTTGAAGCAGACATTACTCTCACATGCCTTGCATCACAGGCAGATGAAAGGCACAGTCACATTAAACCATGCGAAATCATCATTTAGGGAGTGTAAGAGGTTTGGTCACTTCAATACTATATATAAATATATAAAAAACAAGTAGTAAAGGTAAACATGGGCAGGTGAAGACACCTGACCAGATGGATCAGTACAAGCAGAGCTTTAATTTGCAAGTGAGATTTCTTCACAAGGGCTTGGTCTTTTCCTCACACCTCACAGTGTTTCTCCCAAGCCACGCATACAAAGTTATAAATACTGAGATGTGAACACCAAGAAGAACAATGTGCACACTCTCCAGGACCTCCTCTGGAACTGAAAGGGTATTAATTTTATTTCTAAAATGAAAGTAAACATCACATATTTAACACACATGAATATAAATACTTTTAAAAATAAAGCATAGCATTTGATGTTCAGCATTATCTAGAGGTTTAAATAGCAGCCCAAACTTCAAGTCTGACTACAAGTCAGCTAAGAAGTCACAATTTCTCTAGTCTCTTCTAAGTCATAAAAAGGTAACATGCCACCTGATTAACTACATTTCCCTTTTGTTCTGGTCCTCAGTACAGAGAGTGACAGAATGAGATTGCTGTTCCAGCTATTGGATACTAACTTCTTGACTTGCCTTCTTTACTTCTAACAACTGAAAAATCTGCTTCTGTCTCCAAATCTGTCTCCTTAATAATTTCCTGATTTTTAAAACTAAAAAACCAGTAGAATGACATTATTGTTTTCTCTAGCTCTATATTTCAATGGCAGCATCATTAATGATTGATAATATAATGTGTAACATGACACACTACAGTGAAATTTTAAGATATGCCTCCCTGCTTTAACGAACAACAGCCACAATATAAAACCACAAGATGAAATACAGCAACTTTGAAGCTCTTAAGATATTAGACCTGTTAAACATTATACCTGTTTACGATATGGTGTAATTACTCCAATATCTGTCACTGACACTGCAGCGTTTTCATTTTTAGCAAGGTGGCAACAGTACTGCATCACTTGAACTGCTTCAGCTGGATTAAACCATGAAGGACTGTGACCTTCACGAGTTTCAGTGCCCTATATCAGCGGAAAGGAAATGAGATGATGGAGATCAGCTGCAGAAATGACTATGTATTTATTAATACATTATTCTTATACATCCGGAATGCAAAAAAGAGTGATGGAATGTTATATATAATTTCTCTTCCTCTCTATACACCCTTTCCAATGAACAAGTATCACCTAATGTTTTATAATATTTTTTATACGTATATGAAGAGAATTGATAGGACAACAGTACTTTAAGTGTGCAACAAAGGAGTTAAATCTCAACTAAAGTATAATGCGTGTTATAAAGTTGGTATCTTGCTTTTGTGCAAAGTAGAAGAGTTCAAAACCAAGCCTCTCCAAGCAGGGGATATTGCTACTTTTTACTAACTTCTTAGAAGACTAAAGAAAAACTTTTTTTCCAAGGTAGTATTTTTTCCCCTGCTCACTTAAGCCTTAATAATCCTTTAGTTTTAGAAGATTGTATCCAGTTTAATGTAGCAAACTCTCATCAAAAGCAAGCTAAAGGCAGCTGACTGTAACTCCATCTTGGTCATCTGCTATGAATTAGAACTTGCATCAAAATGTCTCCCAGAATACACCTCAATAGGCAGCTGCTCAAGTTCTTAGCAAATATTTGACTTCAGTAGTTGTTTCTAAAACCAGATGCTCAGGAAGTCACATTACTTGCAAAAGCCAGTTTATTCTTTTTTCATATTCTTTCTAGAATTCATTCTAAAGAAAACTCTTCCACAACATCAGCAAACTGCTATCAGGCCTATAGAGTTCATTATATGAACATTTTACATACCTTTATTCCATGAAAAATTAATGGAAATCCCTTCCTGGGCAATTTACCCCAATTCAGCAAAGAAGTTACTACTGAAGCGTCTGCACAAACTTCTAGCTCCTTATGATAAAACAATTTAGATGGCAAGGCAAGCAATGCAGAATGTGACCTGTAGTTCTTCGTGAGTTTTGTGATCTGCAAAGTCAAACCCCAAAATCCAAAACTGAAACAGGTAATTCATCAGACTTCTCAGAACACAGCTCCCAAGCAGATACTACCTTACCATCTTCTAGGATTTAGCATTTCTAAAGCTGCCAAAAAACTGTACTCAAGGCAAAAACTGCAGGTTGATCTAAAAACTAGATCAAAGCAGTTTTTTGAAGGACCATCTCTTTCCTCTCCAAAGGAGAAACAAAAGGAATTGAATGTACATGATAGATGAATTGGTCATTCTTTGTTTTTTAAAAACATTTGATCTATAGGCATATTATCTTTTTTTAAGAGTTTGATTATTTTCATGGAGTTTCCATGGGTGTAACCTGTTATTGTGAGGAAGTCTTGACAGGCAAAAAGGGAGCATAAGAACAGCTGACAGAAGCTGGCCTTAAGACACTGAAATGTAATTGTCTTTAAATGAAAGAATAGTCTTAAGGAAGCATTTTAGACAGTAATAACCAGCTTGAAAAAAATATGTCCCGTAAAAAGGATAACATAGGATATTCCAGTCCAAACATATCCTTAAAGCCCTCACACTTCCTGCTCTCTGACTATGCCAATTCTCCTTAAGCACTGTATAAGGAACACAACAACAACATTTTGCTGTAACAGATTTTAGGAGGAAGCATGACAGGTTTTTCAGCAGGCTGACCTAACCTAAAGCCTCGGGCCATACACTCTCACTTTCCCTCTTAAGTCTGCCATCAGGTTTCCTCCCTTTTCTACTTATGTGGTCATCTACTTATATTTTGCTCTCAGTTTAATTCTTCAAAGTATGCTACCATAAGAATAGGAAGGCATCTTAAGAAGTTTGACTTTAGCCCTATTTTTCAGATTCAGACAGTAATTTAAAGCAGTTGGAACATCTGTGCTTGTTTATATACTATGCTACCTCTGCCACTTAACATAGACTTTAGGTACTTCACCATACAAGAGTTTAGGGAAGCTATCCTACAGAGGAAGAGATGATAAAGAAACCAGAACAGTTTCTCTTTTTCCCTTCCTGAAACATGACATTTACAAAATTAATCCTTAAACAGGAGACTTTGTTTGTCTTTTTATGTCAAAAACAGAAGTTGTACTTGTTCATCTGTGGAGAATTAAGTTATGAAGTTATGGTAAATGTGGTCAGTGAATATGAAAAGAAATTTTAAGCTATTATCTACAATTGTGCTTTGGGCACCCTATTTGACTTATTCTGCTTAAGAATAGAGGACCCCCTCAAAGAAAGGTTTTAACATACTGGAGGGCTCAGCATCCTTACTATTCATAGTATATATGCAAAATAATCAAGCTTTTATAAGAATTAATGTTCAAGCTAGACTTATCACTAAGCATCAGGGAGCAAAACAGTGGTAAAGAAACAGCAGGAACCAGAATTTCTCCTTATTTTGATTCAACTGAAAAACGTTAACAGAAAGTTTAACTCACCAGTAAAGGATTATATGCTCCACAGGCACCAAAAGCATCCTCATCTCTCAGATATAGCTCTCTTGTTGTCAGTCTTTCCAGCAAGGACATACTTAATCCAAAAGTCAGCGCAAGTTTAGATTTTATTACCGGCCCTAACTGCTTTGGATCTCCAACAAGAACTATCTGTATATGCAATTAAAAAAATCCATTTTACATTAAAACAGTGGTTATTGAAACTACCTTTTTTAATGACATACTCATTTCAGAATTCAGAGATCAATTCATATCAAGTATTCTGCTTTCCTTCAAACATCTGTTTGCAAAGAAGGGTTAGCCCCAGGAGAGCAGTATGTTGTCGTCTTAAACTAAAAATGCATATTTTTATTTTTACATCTTCCACACACTGATCCAGTCCTACACAGACTTGTTTTAGATGTAAAACAACTCGTTTAAGCGTTGGGAATTGATATGGTGCATGAGTAAGAGCTATTAAAAATATTCAGAATCTCATACTCATCACCAGAAAATGGCTGCTTGAATTCTACACCATTCACAAAAATGAAAACAATAAACCAACTTTTTTCCTTTCAGCAAATGATGTTAAGAGAACTACCTGTCCATGAGCTTCTGAAATCAGTCCAATAGGAATCAGGCTCTCCGGTTCACTTGCTTGCCCTGCTTCATCCACAATCACATGAGTGAAGTGTCCAAGCCTATAATTAAATAACATTAACCTGAAACAGGGCTGTTTTCAGATTAGTTCATTCTGCCACCCTGTGGTTGACCTCAGCAGTTCTGTGAACATCCTTGTCAAGTGTGCCAGACAACTCCACACACACAGAGCAAAGATGGATATTTTTAATAGGAAATATAGAAAAAACAACAGTGTAACTTTAATTTTTAATTTTTGACTTTACTTACACACTTTGATATACACAACCACCAGTTATCTTAATTAAAGTGTTGTTTATACCAAGATTAAGATACTTAGAAAAGCTTGCCTTATTTTCAATTTCCTTCAGCTATTGAATTAGAACAATGCACTGTGGTGTAGCTAAGACAACCCCCAAGCTTTGTTTCTACCAAACAGCTCAAGATAGTAAAGCTTCAGAGTGTCCTTTTACAAAGTTAAAATCAAAATCAGAGAAATCTTTGGTTAACAGCACTTGACATGGTACTTGTTTACAATTACTAAAGGTGACTGTCACAAACACAATATAATTTTTAGTGTGACAATCATTTTGAGCCAAAGTGATTGTCAACAGCCATATAATTTCCACTGGTGGCAGAGGAGAAGTTACTGTGTCAAAAATTTTAAGCATTAATCAAGATAATTCTTAAATTTATTATGGAGAAAGTTTCTGCTAGAACATTACTAAAACCAAGTGCTTTGCTCTATTTCACAGTAGAGACAGATGCCATGAACTGTACTAAAAACAGCCTAAGTTATAGTATAGAGTCTCTAAAAGCTCTGGGGCTTGTATCATCTGGCTATCTCCATGATATTCCTATCTATAGTACTCTACCGTGTATCTGTTTGATAAAACAATCCTGCACTGCTGCACGTCGTAATTACTATCCTGGACCACAATGCTTTCTGAATATCATCACCATCTTTGCAGTAAGGTTTCACCATGTCATCAATCTGCTGCAGAAACAAAAAGGTATTTTGTAAAACAAAATGCCAGAAAAGCACTCTGAAAACTATTTTAGAAGCTGAGCAAAACACATAGGTTTAGACCCATTCATACACCAAAATGAATTAATAAATTTACCTAAACAAAGTAGTACATATGCGAGACATCTGTGCTTTATTGTAAGGAACAAAATGGAACATTTAAGTGTTTCGTGTATATGTAACATACACATGTTACATATCTATATGTACACACACACACACGTATATATACATATATGTATTTATATGTGTATATATATCCATACATACCTACACACATATATATGTATAAATATATATGTGTATGTAATGAACCCACAATGTGTGTGTCCTGCATAAAGATGACAATCCTACTTGTTCCCTTTCTGTGTAAGTAGTCTTAACTGGGACTGATAAAATAATTTAAAAATTAAATCAAATTAAAAATCCCCAACAATACTATTTGCTGCTTGTAGAGTTAAGCAAAAAAGATGTTAAGATTCTATGCTCATACAATCAAACTAAGGATTATGATCAACATTTTCCAGTTAGTCTTCTGGAAAATGTTGAGTAATGCAATGCTTTGGATCCTAAGCAAGCCTAAGCAGTCTAACAGCAACTGAAGTTACAATACCAAATTGGTATTTTAAGATAAAAATATTAAAATGGAAATATTAACTGGCAGTTATCTATAATATTTACCTCTGCTGACCTGAAGGCAGCATTAACTCGGACCATAGCTCCCGGTTTTAAGAGACCGCTTTGATGCAGCCGCAAGCAAATCAGATCTGTTGCAGCATTTGATGGCGCACATACCAAAATCCGACTATCTGGTAGAGTATAATGTATCTACGTTAAAGAAAAGAGATATTTAAAAAGGTTATTTAGAGAAGTAGCAAAAGCTCAAACGTTCCCACTTTATTTCACTGAACAGAAAATCCAGAAGAGTTTTGCATACACGTTATACTCATTGATTCTTTTGCAGTTCAGTAACACTTGTGTTGACAGTCAAGACTAAGTACTCTCAAACTGAGTGTACCCACAGCAGAATTAATTCATGGTTATCATATTAATGTGTATCTGTGCTCCATGAATACATTATGCACTACTGGAATCACAAGTTAGGTACTGTTCACTGAAGCTTTAAAGACAAAGACAAGAAGACCTGAAAATAAGCCATTCTCAACTCTGTCAAATGCATGTGAAGATGGGTTTTCCTCTTTCACGGAGCTACAGAAAATGATCTTAAATAGAGTATTTTGAAAACACCTTGGAAAAAAAATATGATGATACTTACAGAAATACTGTAAGTATACTGAAAAGATTAGAGATGACTGATTTGTCATTCACCACTACCTGTAAAATAGCTTCAATTACTGTTACTGTTTTTCCAGTTCCTGGTGGTCCAAAGAGAATATAAGGTGTTGGGCGACATTCACCACTCAGTATCCTTTTCACTGCCAGTTTCTGTTGCACATTCAGCATCGGATTGAAAAATTCACCAGCTCTCTCTTTAAGTGCCACAGTTTCACCAGCTATAATCAAGACATCCATATATTAGAACTTTACATAAATATTTGTAACATATGTAGATTAAAGCAATTCCAATTCACAATATGCTTCTGAAAATTTTTATTTTCCTTTTGTGGTAACAACTAATGAATTTCTCAAAAATTCAGTTTTCATAGAATATAATGTAGAAAATAAGCCATTAATATTTCCAAAGTGTACTGGATCTTTACTGAAGACCAGAAAAGGATTGTGATTATGTAACCCAACAATCTATAAAAACTACTTCAAATTATTGAAAGTAATTTGAGCATCAAGATCACTTTTTGGTCCTAGAACAGCAAAACTGATCACTAGTAAACTACAACTATTGGAATTTTTTTTCGTAATCCTGTCTGAATTAGTCTAGCTTTAGCTTTCCACAGCAGAATCTTATTAACCCTTGGACAGAAGTGCATTCTAGGTAATCTAATCAGTAGTTCTTTAGGCATCCTACTGATACGAAATGACACAATCACCCTTTTCAGCATTCAAGTACACTGATATTTAAAGTCACACTTTCCAAAAAGGTGTAGCAATGATCTCAACTACCTGAAAAAGTTTGAGCATCCTTGGCAAAGAAGCTCTCCCAAGGATGAGAGACACCATTCCAGTAACAAATTGCAAACTCTGAATATGACCAAATATTTTTGAGTAAACTACTGTAAAATGATAATTAACTAAAAATATATCACCAGATGTTTGCTGCCTCCTCCCTAGAAACATTCCAGGCAAGGCTGGATAGAGCTCTGAGCAACCTTGTCTATTGGAAGGTGTCCCTGCCCACAGCACAGGGGTTGGAACTAGATGATCTTTAAGGCTCCTTCCAACTCAGACCATTCTAGGATTCTGTGAACTAGAGATGTTGAAGTAATGCACATAAAGCCTCCACAGAAACTTCCCGCTAGCAGTTCTAGAATTTGTCTTTAAAAGACAGAGCACAAAGACATCTTAAAGGCATCTTACTCAGCCCTGGCTTACTGAAGTAATTGCAATCCTGAACTGTAATACTTTATATTCAAGTACAGAAAGTATACCAAGTTGGCTTGTTGGCAGAGTTACTCTCATCATATCCTGTACATTCACCTCCCTTGATGTCATGCCTTTTGCCTGTTTGTTCTTCTTTTTTTTGACCTGAAAACAGCAAGTGAATATAAATGCATTTACAACCTTAAGAAGACAGGCAACTATCTTCACTAAAACTTTTGAAGTTAAGTTTTAATTTTTTACCCATCAAATACCATTATCCCATTAAATAGAATATCTATTGTGAAAACAGAAAGATAGGAGTAGTAGAAGGTGCTAGGAATTCCCACATTAAATTTAAAGATTTCTAATAGTTTTGTTTCTGTTAACATTAAATATTTATTTCGCAAATAATTTGCAGCTCAGATTTTGAAGCCATGGCTGAATAACTTCTTTCCTTCCACGAAAGCATTCACGTTCCATACCACTAAGCTAGATACATGGATACATGGACACACGCTTCTTCCTTAGCGGACACACGTCCTTTCAGATTGTAGCATGGAAGAAAACTGCTTGTAGGGGATACAGTATTGGTAAAATTCTAGACAAGATACCTCAGTCATCTTAATAATACTGATTCCAATTCAGTGAAGTGATGAATATTAAGGGTTGATTACTCCTTGTACAGGACAGAGATCTTTGTTGCTTCTACAGAGCCACGATGTCATGGAAAGACTGCAAGGCTCATTTTTAGTCCTTCTGAATACTGCCTTTGCTGCTCACCCCTGTAGGTACTAGTGACACTTTAGAGCAAGGGGAGGATCATTTAGGTCTGGAGTAAAAGCATGAGTGGTCCAGGTGATATTCTCCACCATCCTTCTAGTCAAACAGAAAGGTCCCAGTAGAAGCAGACATCTTGTAGAACAATAACTGAGAGCAGCAGCACAGCTCTGGGTCTATGTGAGGAGCTCCTTGATTACATATTACTAATTGCAAAATCAGAGATTTGTCTGAGTTGTTACCACAGAGAGATGGACTAGCAGCAATACTGTCTAGTGGTCTGTAACAAATCCCCTCCAGAAGAAAGAGAACATAGAGGAGATTTCTGACAAACAACTGGCATCAGTGTCCTGATTACAGATGGTGAAGCTTCCTGAAGATTTCAATCACACACCTGATGCAATTCACTTAGAAAACATCTAGAATTCCTAGACTAGTTGGTGACAACTTGTTAATGTAAATGGGTAACATACTGATCAGAAATAACACTCTATTAGACTTGCTCCTCATACACAGGAAAGACCATGTACCAGATTTTACTGCAGAGATTTGCAAGGTTAGAGTAAGGCTAAGAAAGTAAATCAGTAGTCAGAACTCTGGCTCTTCTAGAACAAACCTCAATTTCTGTAAGAACTCACCAAGCAAAATCCTCTGAGAAGCTACTATGTGAGGAAAAAGGTGCTCACAAGAGCTTAAAAATGGTTATTGAGAGACTGTAAACAAACTATCCTGTTGCACAAGATCATCGGGAATTTCAGTAGAAGGCCTGCTTCTTGATGAATTTATAAAAAGCGTATTACAAGCAGAAACAATGACAGGAAAAATATAAAAACGTTGCTTGGAGAGTTGGACAAAATCAGAAGGTCAAAGAGATCAAGGTACTGCTCAAGTTAAGAGAAAAACAGCATAGTAAGAAGGGATTTAGCAAATGTGGTGGAAGAGAGACAGTTCAACGATCATGAAGGCTCACAGCTGGATAGGAATAGACAACTCACTGATGGATGACATCTGAAAGAACTCAATGTACTTTCTGTCTCATATGTACACCTCCAGACTCCTGTGCAAAGTAACAGTAAGTAAAAGAAAGGGACAAGTAACAGAAGGGGAGCTACAGTCTGCTTAAGAGACACTGGAGAAGGTAGATGTGATCCACCACACTCATATGACTGGACACTGCTGCCTATCACCCATAATAAAAAATAATCAGGACAAGCCAGGGAATGTTTCCGATAGCAGGAAAGAGTCAATACTGCTCTGGACAAGGAAGACCTGGGGAACTATGGCTCACCAGCCTCACTCTAGTCCCTGAGAGAACACCCTTCTGGATTCCACAGGCTTCGTATAATTGGAAAAAACAGGTGACCAGGAACAGACAACACAGCTAAACCACAGGGCAGATCTTTCATGATCAACCTGATTTTCCTCTGATGAAAAGACTATTATATGTAAAGACTATTACATGGACAACAGAAAAGCAGTCATTGTAATATTCGTTCACCTCAGCAAGGCTTTTGAAATGGTTTACTTACCACATCACTCTTATTTGTAGCCTGAAGACATACTAGCTGGATCAACAGACAGATAGGATGAGTTGAAAAACTGACTGAACTACTGGGCTTAAAGAGTATTAATCAATAGTTTGATGCTCAGCTGGAGCATATCTGGATGCTAGAACTGTATATGAGCCATTATAATGTTCTGAAGTGGAGAGGCTGTGAGCTTGGATTTTTAATTTGGCCATGAGAAGATGCAGAGGTATTCTAACAGCCCATGATGGCTTATATCAGAGTTACAAAAAATGAGAGACAAACTCTTCTTGGTAGTCACAAATGATATAACAAGGGACTACATCAACAAATTGCAGGTGGAAGATTCATACTTGGAATTAGGGAAAAATGAGTGTAAAGCTGGTGAAGCACAGGTTATGCAGATGCTGTGGAAACTCTAGACAAAAATAAAGAATTGTGTCTACTCCTCCCCACTTGATTTAGTGGTGGTGACAGTCCTGCTTCAAACAGGAAGAGGACCAGGCAGCCTCATGAAGACCTTTCTAAGAAAAATTATATTAAGAAAATGTAGAAATCTAAGTGGCAGTTAAGCCTGGGTGAATCTACTCAGAACAGGATGATTACCTTCTATCACAAAATTATTTCCTGCTGCAGTAACAGAACTTAAGCATCTACTCAACAGTAGCTATGAAAACTAGTTTAAGGCAAATCTCATAATTCCCATTACAATCACACACTTTTTTTTATAAGCACTTTCCATTTGAGATGGGAGTGCTTAACAGTATCAACTACCATAAAATTCTCCATCCCCAGGCAGCAAACAAAACTTCTGTCATCAGAATGCAGCAGATTATAACTTTGATTCTTTGATATTCCATTATGCAATTCCTTTCTAACAACAGCTGCACAGGAGGTATCTGTTACCAATCTGAATGAAGGTTATAATTTTAAGGAATATTTAAGGAATATTTACAGAATAGATACCTTACTTTCCTGCTGTGAAGATTGTTTAAGGCCATCATCAACACCACAGTACTCAGTAGTATTCTGTGTCTTGACAGCTTGTGGTGATTGCAAGACAAGCCTTTCCGGAAATAACACTTCAAATTTAGCAGAGAAAGAGAAAGTAGAGAAATTTGGAAGTCACAAAAACACTTTTCATGTTTCACTAATTAACATTACTGCTGATATATCAGCTTACTCTGAGCTGCTAAAATTGGTTTATCAGAATGAATGTGGTAAAGACCTGCGTAAAGTTCATATGGATCGTTCAATTCAACCATACGACAGGAAATCAGCACTTTTCAACAAATTCTGAGGTAATAAAAAACATGGCCATTTCATTTGCTATTATTTAAGTAGTATAATTTCTACAGTTCTTACTGGCTCAAACAGTTCACAAAAGTTTGCTTCCAGTCCTCCTCCCTGTCATGGCCAACAGATGAAATCATTCTGATGAAACGTTCAGAAAGTTGCTTTTTGATTTTCAAAACAAAACCAAAACAAAACATAAAAAGCCCCCAACAAACACATGGATAACTCCTCTAAGAACAAGTTACAATGCATTCTTCTCAGTATGCTCTGATATGAAAGAAATATAAAACACAAGACTCCCCACAAAGAAACTCCTCTAGACAGTTTAAGTCAACCGAAGTGTACCTTTTTCACCCAGGTAGGAAGCTTGCTGAATTGCCAACTGGCATCGCCTGCTAGGAATCCTGTTACCAAATACAGATTTGTAGATTACATTTCCACACTATAACAGCACACATCTACTAGGTATCTGGTACTTTTTACTATGCACCAGTGCATATAAAAATAGGAGTTTTATATAAAACTACTTTTTTTTTTTAAAAAGCATCTATTGAGAAATACGCTGCAGAAATGTCAACAGCTTTTTTATGAATAGTATTGATACACATATTCTCTAGCTCTTCAGTGATACAAAGATGGCCTAGTGTTCAATGCTTAGTCTTTCAAGGAACTTCTCTTCAAAGCTAAATTTACAGAGAAGATTATGTAACTCCAAACAGTTAACAATATTCCATGAATAAAACAAAAGTATAAAAGGACGGGTGGTTAACATCAGCTTTTTTTTTTTTTTTTTTTTTTTTTTGCATAGTCTTGTAACCATAGTGGTATAGTTTTTTCTTAAAAATGGAAAAAAACTAAGAAAAATACCTCAAAACACCCCACCT